CCCCAAAACCCCAAAACCCCAAAACCCCTCCTTCGAAATCTCACTTGAAACTTCCAAATTATTCGATGCCACTGGTCTATTTAAATTCGAAATCCACGGTATAGTTTAATAGGAGAATTAAGAAATTTGCAAATAAGACCCATGAACAGGATTGATAAATCAATTGTAGTTCCATGTCATGAATATGGCTTGGAACATACTCTTAATAATCCCTGATGTCCATGTGGCCAAGAATCTAATGCTGAGAGTGCTTCTAGTGATTCCAAGAAAGTGCAGCAGGCTAATGTGAGAGATCTATATTTCCAGATAAAATTTAAGAATGGGTGCTTTAAAGTTTGCAATAAAGATACGAAGATATTATCTAAATGAGTAATTCGTGAACCACAAGTGAAATGTCTCCTTGTCAATGCAGACTCGACTCGGCCTGCCAAGGATCACTCCAAGAAGACGATGTGGCATCCAATAGCTATTCGAAGGAATACAAAGAAGGTTCATCTGCAAGAAGAATTTGGTGGCCAAAAATATCATACGAAATCTCAATGAAACCGTCAAAATAAGCAGAATAAGTACTCTCAGTGATATAACATCGTTAAAGAACTTGAAGATCTGGTTGAAGCTGAACTTGAGATTGAGGAGATTTTGATGAATTGTACAGCCAAAGAAGGGTTTTCAGCAGCAAGTTACTTAATCGACAGACCTCCTAATCCAATTATTAACGACCAGGTATTTCTTGGCTGCCAGAACAGTTATGAATCCATCAAATATACCTCTCCACACCTCCACCCCAACAAAATCCCCACATTCAGCACTAAGAATCACGATCTCGATCGACAAAAGCAGACCTTTTCCGAACACCTAGCCTCCCACCAATAACCCCAGGGCTTAATTACCCCTACAAATTCCAGGTACCCCTCTACTTTACTCTCAATAATCCTAAATAGAGACATCTCAGCCATTGGGACCCCCTTTAGCTTATAATATGACTAAATTTGGAATAAATCTGTTGGGAGCAGGAATAGATAGATCAAAGTTTCGGAGTCTTCTTCTGTGTGGGCTTAGGTGTATAGGTATTGTTTAGAGCACTTAAGTGAAGTATATGGGTGGGCTATGGTACGCATTAGCATACAAAACTGTGGGATTGGGATCTGAAGCGTATCTAAGAATACCTAGTATCACATTGCTAAAACATCATTTTCAAAACACAATTAAAATCCCAATCCCTCATTTTTATACAGGGGTTTTGGGGTTTTGGGGTTTTGGGG